GCTGGCCTTTTGCCTCTTTCCAAGGCCATTTTAGATGCAAATTGTACCCCAGACATCATTTTTAAGTGACAGGAAAATCTCTGGAGATAACAAGAATCAGTTTGTTAAATTTATGGACCCTTTGCATTTTCTAATCCTTCTTGATGAATAACTCAGTTTCCAGCCAGGGTTTGAACTTGAGTTGATAAAGCATCAGTTTAAGCTGCTAGCTACTAAATCAATGTAAGTGATGGCTTAATCAGCCCGTCCACTCCCTCCACTCCCTTCCCACAGAATTCCATCAGGCTTCGATTGAGCTGGGTCAGCAAGAGACAGACACTTGGACAGGCCATTTGTAGCCATTAGATAGCATGGGCAGAGAATGTTGACGGCTAGATGATTCAGTGCTACATTGACGAGAGGGGTCCTCTGCAGAGCAAGAGTGAAAACTGTGCTTTAGAGATTGCTCAAGTTTGGGAGGTGCTGTGAATGTGAGGGAGGACATTATGATGAAACAGGGAGGAGATGAACCAGTTATGGTAAAAGCTTACAGATTCTGTCACTTACAGAGAAGACACTTTGGTGATAGGCATCTTTGTGGACTTGTGGACCCATAGTATGAATTCATGGCTGAGAACAGAAGATGCAGAAAATTATAGGGGTAGTTTGTAAGCAAACCCTTGTGTGAGGGGACAAAACAGGAGAGTTACTTATGAAGGAGGTTGGACCCTCTCAAGTCATCCCTTCCATGATTTGTTTATGTAAATGTCCCCCAAAAGGCTCATCTTTTCCTGGCAAATTGAGGATCCACATTTTCTGAAGGTGATGTTTTGGCATGCAGTTTTATTTTATTTTATTGTGGTGATACCTCTTTAGAGATATTCTGTCTCACCACCCCACACCCAGAGGCATCCAAAGTCCTCCACCACAATCTGTTGGACCTCCTACACACCCCCTTTGCAATGTAGTTTTAACTGTATGTTGTGGTTTTCTAGAGAAATATCTATTGCATTAACTGATTACCCAGCATGATAATTTGCCTTTAAGAAACAGTGTCCATGTAAATGCAGCATCTTTGAATAACATTGTTTTATTCAAAGGTCTTTAATTTTGACTTTGATGAGATTAAAAAAAAAAAAACAATCCCACCAAAAGCTGAATGAAATGACTGTTAGATTGGTTCACTTTTGGTCATGTTTTGTGAGAATCGGTCCCCAGTGTCAAATGAGAGCTTACTGTTGGTACTTTAATTTCAAGAGGAAAAGTGTCTGAAGGTGGGTGATCTTTACCTGAGTAGATGTTTTTCTCCACCTCACACTGCACATATAAGGCAGTATGTGAATAGGCAGATGGATGATATATGAATCTGTGATCATTTATAAGCCAGATTCCAGTAAGACACAAAGAACATGAGGTTAAACGTGAGCTAAGAGTTAGGGTCACATGAAGAGGCTGTTCTGTTTCTCTATTCTATTTCTTAGGATCTAGAGAGGTTGTCAATGAAAAGTTGGTCTGAAGAGCATGTGAGATGAACCAGTTTTCAAAGACTGAATCCACCAGGAGGAGATACATATTCATGAAGGCACCTGTCTCCATAATTTTGGTCTTGCTGATGAAACCATGGTCCATGGAGCAGCACCAGTAGCATCCCCTGGGAGCTTTAAAATATGCAAATCTCAGATCTCAAAGGAAATGTATTAATTTAGAGCCCCCAAGTAAAGATTTCCAAGTAATCCATATGAACCTGAAGGCTTGAGAGGCACAGTTTAACACCAACGAAAGCTTAGCTTTCTTGAGGACCTTACGGTTTCTGATCCTTGGCAACATCTCAGGTTTCTAAAGTCAAATCCATTTCTTTGAAAAGAAACAAAATTATGTTGTAATTTATCCATTTTACAAAAACAGTTTTCATATGCATGAGATACCCATTGCATTTTTAAGTGCAATGCATTAAGTCTCTTTCTCAGTCAAATTTATCAGTACATAAACCTTCACTATTTTAGTTGGAAAACAAAACCATATCCTCTGAATATAGTATAGATGTCCATGGAGTCTAGAGGTTGTAAGTCTGTATTTTCAGCCATAAATGAGAGACTTCGCTTGCCTAGTGGTTGATCGAGTGGTCTCTAAGACTCTCACCTGGTTCAATAGTGTTTCTTCAAAGCTGTATCAATTACCAAAAAGTCAGTGCAATAGGATCTGTTATAGAAACAGAAATACATTTTCACAATTAAGAAATTGGCATTTTAGTTGAGGATGCATGAAGATTTCCCTAAATGGGCAGACTTGTAAAAACAAAACTTATTTTTCATCTTTTTTGGGAATGTACTTAAGTAGGTACAAAGAACTTTGTGGGCAGAGGGGAGTTTGCTTAATAAACCAAAAAACTTGCACTAAAACCCAAGTTCCTTTTTTTAGTGGATTTTAAATAAATTAGTGAATAAACAAATATTTACTTTTAGCCAATTGCTACAGTAGGAGAGAGAAATGATAGGTTTTCCTAGTAATAATTTTTGTACTTTCATGTATATACTAAGAGCTGCATTGCTTCATTTAAAACTCAGGGAAAATATCTATGATTATAGATATAAAAATGGTTTCCCAGAAGTTTAAAAAATATTTCCTTCAAAATTATCATCCACATCCAAATTTAGAGAGTAAATGATCCAGTTCTTCTTGTCAATGGCAAAGTGGAAACAGAGTTTAAAGGTATGCAAATTAGACATAGTAAGACTGGAATTCTGAACAACAGCAAACGATAAACAGTGCCAACATATGAGCATTTAGATCAATAAATTGTTTCAGCTTTAATGTTTTACTAACATTATGCCCTTTGGAGTTACAGTAACAACAGTATTTTCCTTTTTTTTTTTTTTTTTTTCCAAAGAACAACAGTATTTTCCTTGGAAGTGAAATGATCCCATAAAACCTACAGATAGTTGAATTAAAAAAAAAAAAAAAACTAAGGGAAGTAAGAAATCCAGCCTTCAGTTTCTGATATATTTTTTCTTTTACAATTTTCCTTTGACCAATGTCCCAGCAACATATATAGAATGAAATATTCACATTTGTAGGCAAATGGTGCTTCATATTTCTCTTATTTATCTTCTTTCTTTTTTTTTAAGATTTATTTATTTATTTATACAAGAACTGGGGTACAGGCCAGATATGTGGGAGGGTGAGAGGATTCACCAGAGACAGAGCAGGGAACAGAACAGACAGAGCAACTGAAATACACTGCTGAGGGGAGCAGCGGACGAGACAGGAGAGGTCTGCTGTGCCATGTGAGACTCTCGCTGGCTGGCTGGGATTGAACCTGCGCTGCAGAGGCTGCGGACAGCTTCCCAGTGCGGTGCTCAACCACCTGCGACACCAGGGGAGGCCCATTTATCTTATTTCTCTATGTTTTGAAATTCTATAACGATCAGCTGGATAGTCAGGGAGGATTTAAATAAGGAAACATGTTAATGAGAATCAATTATTGCTTCAGAGACATTTTTAGCTGCTCTGGCAACTGCAGGAGCTTGGGAAAAAGACACAAGGTCTTTAGAGCTTGTCCCTTCTTTAGATGTTCTTCTTCATGGAAGAATGTGTTCTGTCCTTGTGATCTCTCCTTCAAATTTCAGAGACAAGGTGTGAGGCAAAAGTGTATTTTATGCTTTATTTCTTGTTTGTTTGTTTTCATGTTATATTTACAGTATGACCTCTTGTCAGATAACCTCTGTCTATCAAATACTGAAAATCTTCCCAGGAACCCACATTTCCCGTCTGTAAATGAACCTTTGTCAGCCTGGCAAGAAGAAAGGCTGTTGTAATTAAGCCTTCACCCCTCTTTATCCCTATTGAAGCCAAAGTTCTGACAATGAATTCACTTTTCTTATAAATATTGCTTAAATCATTTCACTTCCTTATTATACCAATAATACAGTTAAATCTATACTCTTTCCTGAGATCATTTTCATATCTGAGGGGATGAAAAATATGCTTTTTTTGCTCCTTCTGAACTTTTATAGCCCAGGTTTGATCAACCTTATGGTGATAGTTACTCTGGTCTGAATATTTGTGCCCAATCCCCAAATTCATATACTGAAGTCTTAACCCTCAAGAAGATGCTGTTAGGAGGTGGGGTCTTCAATAGCTGACTAGGTCACAGGGATGGGTTCCCTGTGATTGGTATTGGTGTCCTTATAAAATAAACCCCAGATTTCACTTGCCCTTTCTGCCATGTGAGGACACAGTTAAAACAATCACTCTCAGAACCACAAAGAAAGCTCCCTACATCCTTGCTGGCTCCTTGGCCTCAGACTTCCAGCCCTCAGAACTCTGTGAAAGAAATCTCTATTGTCTGTAAGTTACTCAGCTATGGCATTTTGTTCTAGCAACCAACGAGGACTAAGACAGCAGGGTAGGAAAGTACTTAGTTATTTTGAAGGAAGTTTTTGTTTGTTTATGATCTCATCAGAATTGTCCCAGGGGCAATTTTTTATTCTCTACAATTTTTATATTGCTAGGTAATTGCTCTGCAAATATAACCTTAATGCAGTGACTTAGGACTTCATTTGTTAATAAATAAATGGATGGCTTGGTCTAAAAGAAGACCACAAATATGCCTTAAACTCTTAGAGAAATATGACACACACTTCAGTCAGCGCAGTTTCTATATTGCAATAGGATGAAGCAGATGGTAAGATGCATTAATCCTCAACATTGCTCCTCTCATCATCTGAGCAAATTATAGTTTGGGTTTTTATTAGTAGGAATTTCTCCCTTCTGGGTTAATTCTTACAGTTATACGTCCTTAGGGCATTTACCCTCTTTTTATTTTAACCCCAGAAAATGATGCTGGGAAGTGCTTCACAAATAAATTGGAGTTAGAGGAAAGTCTGGCTTGGCATTTAGAACTAATGGACAGAGCAAGTTGACTCAGAGATAACCTAGCTGATTGGCATTGCAAACACCAGATGAAGTGATGGGCATGAAAAATACCTGGAACTGTAGTCAGCTTTCTTCTCATTCTGATAGTAGGTTCCAGTCTCTATAATGTGGCTTTGCACATGAACCTTAAACAGAAAAGAATACACTGAAGCAACTTGTCTCTTTCTAAATATATCTTGAAAAATAAAACCCTGGTTCAGATATTCTGTTTAAATTTGAGAACAATTTTGTCAGGAAGTGTCCAGCCCATGTTACTCTTAACAAGAGAGTGTTTATCCAAAAAGTTAAGACACATGAGTAATCTCACACTCAAATGCCAGTTCTCTGGAGGTGGGATTCCCGTAAACAGCCAGACACTTTGAACTTATGGGTTTCACTCTATGTCATACTTCAACCACTAAAACAACACACCACCATGGAGTTCTCCCCTGCTAAGCCAAAACACACCCACCTCATGGAAACTTGCACTGGAAAAATGAGAAAGAAAAGTATCTTTCTAGAGAAAGCTCATGTTCACGTCCTGGGTATTGATTAATCCCTCACTGTGCACAGTACATGGTTGCAGCCAGCACACTGGTTGTAGGTCAGGGAACCTGGTTCTGGAAGGACCAGGTAATTGCTGGAGGTATCAGGAAATTGCTCTACAAATATAACCTGCGCCTGCAACCTACAGGTGACTCTTTCAAGGGTTGCCTGCTTTGCAGAGTTCTGCTTGGCTTAAGAAATTGATTGCACAAGGAGCAAATTTCAAAGTTACTTCTCAGTTTTCTCACATCATTTTATCTACACATCTGATAATACATTCGTTATTCTTTCAGCTGCCTCCCCCATCCAGCTGCATGCTGTTGGAAGGCAAGGGTCAGCTCTTATTAGTTTGTAAGTCTCGAGCATTTGTTGACTAAAAGACTGAATAAACAGGTATTTTTCATGATTTCAGTTGGATAGGTTTTATACTTGAAGGCAGTTGATTTAAAATGTAAGACTTCCTTTCATGCATACATGTAACTTTGAGTGATTAATATAAATTCTGATCTCTGAGTGTGTGTGTGTGTGTTGCGTGTGTGTTCTTCTAGAGCACTGATGATAATACCTTGTAAACAATACTGGGAGGATTAAATTAAGATGGTGCCTTTACTCACGACACAATATATCGGAAGTTACATCATATTAGCGATTCCTTTAAAAGTGTCTTTTACTAAGTGTGTGGGACTCAGTTACTGTGAGCACTGCCTTCAGATCTGCACAGCAAATATCCATGAAAATAGTTTGGTCAATGTGGAAATTCTTCATATCCTGAGGAGTTGGTGTTCAAATCTGAAGTAATATTTGGCTTGGGAGATTGGTTGGGAAAATTAGAACACTGTAGAATTTAATTCCTGCCACAGACATAGGAAAATCCTAGAAGATGATACTTCATTTTTATGGATGGATTTTATCTATACATTCAACGTGATGAGTTAAGATATTTAATAGGATTTTTCAGACCTTCATTCAATCCACAACAGAGGGAAGATAAAAATAAGAGACACAACAGGGATCCTGCTGTGTTTTAATCACTTTTAAGATTGTGCTGAAAGTAAACTCAGCTTTTGGATAATTTATAGGCAGAAATTTGTGCAGCTAACTTAAAATTCTTTAAAAAATATCTTTCCCTCTAATTTTTGGGTGATTTTAATTTCAAACAGCTCCATTTTTTTTATTGAGATATAATTTGCATATGTCTTAAGTTCAACAGGTCTCGACAAAACATATACATTTCATGATCATATCCCAGAAAGAAAATAGAATATTAACCATTATTATCAACACAAGAAGATACCCATGTTCCTTTCTGGTCAATTGCCCGCCACCCCCCACCTTACTTATCACTAACTTGGAGAAATTGGTTTTGTGATTCTTTCAACAACAGATAGTGTTTACCTGTTATAGAATTTCACATAAATGAAATCATACAAACTGCAGACTGATATTTCTTATGAATTTGAACATAAAAACCCTCAACAAAATGTTAGCAGACTAAGTCCAGTAGCATATAAGAAGGATTATGTAGTGGGAGACTGTCAGATTTATTCAGGAATGGCTCAACATAAAAGTTTCAATCAATTAAATAACCCTGTTTATAGAATAAGGGGAGAAATGATCATTTCAATAGACACAGAAATAGCATTTGACTATCTTTCTTGAAAAAACATTCAACAAAACTAGGGATAGAAAGAAACCCTCAATCTGAAAAGAGGATGTCTAAAAAAAAATTCACATCTAACTTCATGGTAAATGGTGAAGGAACAAAGATGTTCTCCATAGAAGAAGACCAGATGTTTGCTCTCACCACTTCTATTCAACATTGCACTAGAAATCTAGTCCATTAGGCAAGAAAATGAAATAAAAACATCCATATTGGAAATGAAAAAACAATATGACTTTTATTTGTAGGTAACATGAATTTGACCATACACAATCCTAAGGAATCATGGTGATACTGTTGAAGCCAATAAAATAATCAAGTAAATTTGTAGGGCATGAGATCAGTATACAAAAATTAGTTTATTTTTATTCACAGCAATGAGACAACTAAAATTAAATTAAGAAAATTCCATTTACAAAAATTTTATTCCCATTACAAAATTCTACCTAAAGAGAAAGTATGTGGAAGTAAATTTAGCAGAAGTAAATATCTAAAACTTTGAAAATCATAAAGTATTGCTCAATGTAATTAAAGAAAATCTATATAATAGAAAAACATCTCATTTTCATTGTTCAGATGATGAATTATTTTTTACTTAGTTAAAATGACACCATGCCCTAAAGTGATCTACAGAGTCAATATAATCTTTACCAAAATTCCAGCAAGCTTTTAATTTTGGCAGAAAATGACAACCTGGCCCTAAAATTTACATGGGAATTCAAGTAATCCAGGATAGCCAAAACAATCTAGAATAAGAACACAGTTAGAAGACTCATATTTCCTGTTGTCAAAACTTATTATAAAGCTAGAGTTATAAAAACTGTGCAGTGTTCGCACAAGAATAGACATATGCACCAGTGAAGTGTAACTGAGAGTCCAGTAGTGCATGCTCACATTTATGGTCTACTGATTTTGAACAGGGTGCCAAGACAGTACCATAAAAGGGAATAATTTCTTCAGCAGATAGTGCTGGGACAATCATATCATCAAATGCAAAAGAATAAAATCGAACAGTTCCATCACACCATATACAAAATTTAACTCTAATTTAACCATAAATCTAAATGTAGAAGGTAAAATTATAAAACTCTGAAAAGAAAGTATAGGAGTAAATCCTCATGGCCTTGAGTTAAACAGATCTTTCCTAGGTGTGAAAATCAAATCACAAATGATAAAAGGAAAAAAAAAAAAAGAAAAGAAAAGTGGTACTTCATCAAAAATGAGACAAAAGTGGGAGGGACATGATGGAATCTGGAAGGACTATGAATGCCTTTGTGGAGAGTGAAACGATATGGATCCTATAATCATATACAGTGTTGAGACCCAATGCTACCTCTCTCTATAAAAAATAAGCAAACTCTGAAACTTGTGTTTCAAAGGGTTAAAAGACAAGGAGCTAAAAGACAATACACAGAATGAGATAAAATATTTGCAAACCATATATCTGATAACTATGTCTAGGACATATAAAGAAATCTTCCAACTCAATAATGCAAGATCAAATTAAATTTTTTAATTGGGTGAAGTATAGACATTTCTAAAAAAATATGAAAAAGTTTAATAAGCACATAAAAAGAAGTGTAGCAACATTAGAAGTAAAATACGTGAATAGATTTTTTTTTTCCAAAGAAGACATACAAAAAGTATTCGCTTGAAAAGGTCTTCAACATCATCAGCCATTCTTGAAGTGTGAATCAAAACCACAATTACATATGCAATCATGTATTATTTCACACAGTTCTCCATGGCTAGAATGAAAAGACAGAAAATATAAAGAGTGGAGGAATTAGAATGTGTATACACTATTGTAGAGAATGTAAAATTGGCAGATTTTCGAAAGTTTAAACCTAAAGTCACCACATGACCCAGCAATTCTATTCCTAGGTAGACATCCAAGAAAATGAAAGCTTATGCCCACAGAAAAACTTACACACAGGGGTTTATCACGGCAATATTCCTAATAGCCAAAATGTGAAAACAACTCAAATGTCAATAAGGCCAAGAAGAAACAAACTTATGAATGGATAAGTAACAAGTGATAAAACCATGTCATGGGATATTATTTGATGATATAAAAGAATAAAGAATTGATACTTGCTATGATATAGATGAACCTTGTGCTAAGCAAAATAAGCCAATTTTCAAAGACCACATATTGTCTGATTCCATTTATTTTCAAAGCAAAAACAAAGATTAACCTCAATTCAACCTATGCCAAAATTATTATACCCTGATATTTAAATGAATAAGGTTTCATTGTATGCATCTAGAAGTAACAGATTTAAAGACATACTAGATTCTATTATTATATTTGTAGTGTTGGGATGTCACTGATGGAAAAGAAACAGGGCTGATCTATTTTCTTTGGTGGTAAAATTGAAGCTCTCAGTTTACATTTAGTGGAGCGGGTTTGTAAATGTCTCGCTGTTTTTTAAAAATTCTATGAGCATCTACTGTGAAACAGAAATATATCTCTCTTTACATTCGCCAAACCATTATTACTCCCAGAAAGAGTTCACAGGAGGCAGCAGTGTGAGTGATGAAAGTGCTCCTTACCTTGACTTGTAAATTCCTCCCAGATCTTATTCCTCTATGACTAGACACACTAGCCATAACATAACTCACTTAACAGTTTATTTCCTCCACCGACATTTGGAAAGTATGATAAGTCACTGTCTGAACTTGGTACTACTGATAAAATATTTGATAGACACAGAGGTAAAGGAATGGATGGTATAGTAGGGAAGCTAGATAAGTAGGTTGAAAATTACTCTGGAATATGTACATACTCTAAGAGCAGATTTAGGAGTTATGGAAGCTCAACAAAAGGGAAGCTAACCCAGTAGGTGTAGGTGAAGGGAAGTGTCTAGCAGGCTTTTAATCTATCTCTGCATAAGGTAAGAACTTATGAAATATCTAGGCTTTAAAGAGGGGAGTAAG